GGCGCCGCCCAGCGGAGACGTGCCACCGACCAGGATGTCCGAGTGGTCGACCGAGACACGCGTAGGTGGTTTGTATGTGCGTATGTGGTCTAAGATGTTTTAGCTAGGTATCCATAGATCAAGTATTTATGCGTCGGGGGGGCTCGGCGGGTGGAGCGAGCCCATTTCTGGCTCCGCCCCTTCCCCCTCAACACAGCGCTGCTCTCTACCCCCTCACCTGTCAGACGCACACACACACAGACACACACTCTGTCATCTGTTCCCTCTCTCCCTGCTCTCCCCCACTAAAACATGTCGGACAAGGAAGCACTACATTACGGAGAGCGACATTTTCTGAAGGCAGGCGAACGAAAGCGTGATCGAAAACGCCACGCCGTGTTTTTCTCCTTTTTTTCCTCCCCCGATGTGTGCCGTTGTTGATCATGTTGAGTGTTCCAGTTAATGGTGAAAAGTGAAAAGTAGCCACCGCTAGTTGCTGTGTGCCATTAAAAAACAAAACAATAAAACAATAAAAAAAAGTTATTTTTTTCTTTCTTTTTTTTCCCCCGTTTTGTAAGGGCGAGGGATCCAGAACCCGGCCCCTTCCTCTCTCTTCCTGTGGGGCTCCATCGACCCACTCTGCCCCACGTTATCCATCCTTTCATTACGCCTCTAGATCTTTGATTTTGCTGCCCACTTTAAAGGTCCATCAAAAAGATTGTATTTTTATTAATCTATTTAAAAAAACAAAAAGAATAATTGAGGTAGTGGTTGGTGCCTCCACAGTGGAATGACCCACACAATTTTATACACATAGATTTTGCTGTGCTTGAGTAGACAACATTTTGTATGGTTTTCGTCTCCTTCCCTCACCCCCTTTGCCCTGCTTCAATATCTGTGTATAACAGTCTGTTCTTATGTAAAAAAAGGAATAATGTAAAAAAAAAAAATGCTAGAGGAGAACCGTGGAAATAAAAGTATGTGAAAATAGTGTTTTTACATCTGTGCCTGTATTCTTTGACGTTTTCGGACACGAGTTATTAATGGATCATAACGATAAAACTAATTTCTGGCATTTTAATCAGTAGCTGTTCATCTCTGCTGAAGGGTTGCGCGTTCAGTCACCATAGGTGTGATTATTATATATGGGTAATAGAAGTCTTATTAAATCAAAATGGTTTTAGGGGTCATAAACTCACATTTAAATCTGTAAATTTGCTCATCTTTTTCAAATATTTTCCTCTAAGTCCCAAATGGACGAGTAATAAAACTGAAGAAAGAGGGGGGAGGAGAGGACGAGCAGGTCTTTGCTTTCATTAAAGGTTAGTGGGCCGTTTTAACCTATGGACGAGTTACTCTGAAGCTCATGAAAAAAACACCCTAAAAAAAAACACAGTTTTGTGGTTTTTCAGATGAAATAAATGAGGTTTTAACTTGCTGTTCGTTTTTCAGTCGAGCTGAAAGAGTGTTTGAGATACGCTGATGCTGAGTAGCCACACCCGAAGGTTTCAGGGTTTCAACCAATTTAAAAACTCCTTTTTACTATGAATCCTATTTGCTTGGTTAAATATGAAAAGATTGATGTGAGAGCTGCGTCACAGGACTCCATAAAACATTAAATCCTAATATGTTGTCATGTCTCAAATCAAGAAAATAGCATTTCATTTATAGTGATGAAAACTTTAGTTTGGATCTTCTGGTTCTGCTTGTCATTTGTGCCTCTGGTTTGTTTTCAGAGCCTTACTGTGGTCAGAAAATAAGATCAAATCCTTGAAATCCTCTTGGATCTTGGTTACAGCTGCCTGCAGATCTATTGATCAGGTCGTATCTGAGTAGAGGAGAAGTCGATATAAACGCACCTTTTTTTTTTTTTTTATGCCAAAATGTGCCAAGAGAGATGAGATGAGAGGCAACGACTAGAATTCAAACCACCTTAAAATTCCAGTCTTTGGTCCGAGCACCTTATTTCTCCAACTCAAGAGGAGCGATCCTGCCATCTTTTGAGGATTGGGTGATTTGTGGAGACTTCTGGGATCTCCTGCATGGTTTGATTAATCTCTTGGCTCTCTGTTCAGGATTTTTCATCATATCAGTACCTTTTATCTGTTGCAGCTAGTTTTTCAGGTCTGCAAGTGCTTTCTGCTCCCTCCACTGTTTCTAATTTCTAACAATGCGCTGACTCAGGCCAAATTTTCACCAAATCGCTCTTTTGGAATCATGTTGCTGCAAAAATAAAATTTTCTGTCAGTCAAAATGTGTTTTCTTTAGCCTTTACATCAAAAGTACCGACAGCTGCCATTTAAAGGGAGTTTTTGTAGACACATCACAGGTTAATGTCGTCTGTTTGGGGTATTTTTACAACATTTCAGGAAACAGATAATGTCCAGAAATGTGATCTTTGAAAGCTGGAAAACTTGCTGCTGAATACCATTTTAAAAGATTTTATGTTTGGAAGCACTTTTACCTAGTTCTGTGGAAATGAAAAAAAAGAAAAACTGTTCTGGTTCGACCGTTTTGACGATCCTGGAAGGATAAAAACAAGATGCCAAAAGCTGTTAAATCCCCTTAAATCATGAACAGAAATTTCCAGATGACATTTTGACGTTTGTGTTTATTGAAGCTGAGCAACGCAAAGCAAAGGGGAAAGACCAACACTCTCCACTTCCACCGCTGGTTCCCCATCAGGAGCAGAGGGTCTTCTAATGGCCGCACTTTGACACTGAGAGCTGCATTCCTCTCTGATTCAGGCAAAAAAACATCTTTTTGTGTATTTTTGTTTTCTTCGCCTCCATCCTCTTACCAGCAGATGGGGCTGTCGCATCAGCCGTGACGCACAAAACCAAATCGCACACTTGTAGAGTCCTCAGTTTAGCAAACGCACAGGCTTTATTGAATGTTAGATACCAGACTGGAACAAGAACCCGTATGATGAGCTCGCAAATACAAACGAATGCAGTAATCCTAATGCTCTGAATCTGCCACTGCTTCTTATACCAGGGCACAAAAAGGCAGCTGAAGCTTAACTGTGAGTCTTAGCATGCTTGATACAATAAAAAGCATGGTGCTGTGCGTGAGAGCACGGTC